GGGATCCCTGGGTCAGTGTCACCGGGAGGTCCGTGTGATGGTCACTAGCCGTGCCTGCTCGTGTATGCTCTTTGGGTTTTGTTTTGTTCTTTGCTGAAAATGAATATTCTGGAGCAAGACAAAAGCAAGAACTATTAAAAGTGGAGTTTGTGGGTGAAACAAAAGTCTCTGCAGCAGGAAGACCTGCAAGCACAGAGTTAGAGTTTGGGTTTGTAAGTAATCCATCCTCACTGGATTTATCTTCTGTTACCCAGTCTTCCCTTAGCCATTTCTGTCTGCCTGTGCTTAGCATTTTTCAGGGACATGTGTCCATGAAATGGAGGAGCTGTGAGAAATGTAGAACGTATGCTTTTAAGAATAAGAACTGTGTTGTGAGGAGAGAGTGAAACCCTGCCACCTTCTTTCATTTTCAAATGAAGACTGCATCCATTTTGGAAAATTTGCTGTAGTTAAATATTAATTATTATTATAGCACAGGACTGATGAGGTGGACATGGTTGTTACTTGGAGAATATGGTAGGCATTTCTTAAAATCTGTACCTATTGTGGGCTTTTTTTCTAAAAGTAATGCCCTTGCACTGCAGTGAGTTCAGCATAGGTCAAACTTTAGATATAGAAAATGTATATAGAGACTTTAATTTAGTGGAACCCTCGTCTGTAGCTGTAAACAAAAACAAGCTGGTGGTTTGCAAGTCATCAAATAAGGAGCCTGAACACAACATGTATTTCTAGTTGAACTATATCTATTTTAACAGTATCAATGTTGTCCTTCCCAGAACAGAGAATATTTTTCCTTGAGGGGCTCTTGAAGAAATCCTGGTGAAATCATGGACGGTAAGAGGGGAAGCAGTCTTACTTTCAGTGTGAAAGTTTTCTTCTGATCAGTACACTTGTTAATAAGTTCAAATGTTCAGAAAGCTTGGTAAAACTTTTAGCAAGGGAAATAATGTTGCCTTGACTTCACTTGAGGCCCTTGAGGTTCCCCTTTGCCTTCATTGTTGTCACCTTTCTGTGAGGCTGCTCTACCCTTCCCTGGTTTTATGTTTTCTTCGTCACCAAAGCTAAATACATTTCTTATTTTGTTCTGAATTGCAGTTCTGCTCTGTCTGTCCCATTCCTCTCTCTACACTTGATGTTCTTTTTTTTCATTATTTGTACCTTTGATCCATGTTTATTTACTCTAATCTCTTCCTTGAGCAAAGCATATACTTTCTGGTCTACCTTGCATTTTCCTCTTCAGCTTCTATTGGCAAAAGCCACAGTGGGTGTCTCTGTAAAGCTCCTGGCTACACCTTTACAGGTCTCAAGGCTTTTCTTTGTAATAGCAGCCATTGTTCAAGCAGCCCCATAGGAAGAAAAGCCAGTGCTAAGTGGCCTTGCAAGTTTTCTGCCTGCCAGCCAGCCTGGATCACAAGCTGAGAGTGTCTGCAGCCACATTTCCATCTGACCAGACAGCAGGAAGCTGTTTATCTTCCTTTAGCCAAAGTTAAAGTAGTTTTTTAAGAATGCCACTTGCTCCTCTGATTTAGTTTCAGTTGTCGTTAGCTTGTGATTAGAGTAGCTTGGGATGTTTTATTCCATGGCAGCTTTCCTCTAACTGGACAGAAATAACACTGAGTTTCATTTTTGCCATAGCTGATGATGACTTGGATCTGTTGGCCTCCCTCCTGGAAGAAAGCGAGGCAACTGAGGAGGGGAATTCTCCTGAGGAGGGGAATTCTCCTGAGGAAGAAGATGCCCCAGAGGATGAGGGAGGAAAACCAGATGAATATGATGAGCTGTTTGATGCAGAAGATGATGCATCCTACACTGAAGAGGTTGATGCTGAAGACAACATGATTGATGAAGAGAAGGAGAATCTGGCTATGCTGTTTGGAGATGTGGATGACCTGCTGGAAGAAGAGAAGGCAGAAGAAACTGTTGCCACGTCGGCTCCCAGTCAGACAAAAGAGAAGACCAACGAAGAACTGCAAGGTTTCTATAACAGCATCTTTTATCTGTTTTATCATATATATGTTGTCTCTAGAGAGCTAACGGGCAGAAGGTAGGGTCTGCTGGTTCTCACTTTGGGATGGTGCCCAGAGGGGGAATACAGAAAGTCCTTGTGAAAGTTTCTAAGTTCAATTTTAGTGCTCAGTGGCCAAACTCACCAGCCTATTTTCCCAAAAGAAAGACAGAGGACTGAAGTAAGCAAGGGAAAATAAACTAGCTCTGCTGAGCAGGATAGGGAAGGTTGCCTATGCCTTGTGTGAAGAAGAACAATGTTGCTTCAGTCTTCAGGGCTGTCATCCTGGCATCTTTCACCAGCACAGCTCTCCCTTCCCCCTCAGGACTTACCAGCAGGAGGTTCTGCCATACCAGTGTGAAAGCAGAGCTGGCCAGTGAGCCTTTCTGAAGCTTCCTGTGTCCAGGCCACGTATTTTATTATATTGGAAGCATTTCTTTATGCCGAGTAAATCATCATTCATTTAAATTGTCTTGTGTTCACTAGTAAAAGTATATGCAACATGGCAAGGAATATACCACAATCAAGTGAAATATTTATGAGAGAAATCAGCTCCAGGCTGTATGGAAAAGTGTCCCTTCACTGTGAGCTATGTAGAATCAAGTAAATCTGTACTGTGGCTTGAGTCTTTGTTTTCTAAGTTCCTATGAAGTAGTAAAACTGCCAGACTTCCAGGGGTCTCATAAATCCCTGTTTGCAATGGCTTCCTGCTGTCTTCATTATTATCATCCTTTTTCTTCTTTCTTTCCTAGCTGAGCTGAAAAAATTGCAAGAACAGATGAAGACATTACAGGAGCAGTTGCAAAAGACTGCTATTGGGCAGCAATCCAGTTCAAGCCCTGAGAAGAAAACCCCTGGTAATGAGACTAATTAAATGGGTTTATGATTTGTTGGCCTACCAACATGCAATTTATAGGCAAGACTCCAGATAATCCTAAAGTGGTCACTTAGGATTATGGAAGAATTGTGGTCTGGCATGTTCCCACACAGGTTGTTTCCTGCTGCTACAGACTAAATCAATGAGCTATAGTTTTGGCATCTGCATCATGGGTTGATTCTATATGAGGCAGCTTACGTGACTGAAATGCTCCAAGATTTTCTGCTGGAAGTGTCCCTTCTTATTGGCAGATGTTGGTACACCCAGAAAATACAGCCATGTTGCTGTAGCACATGGGGTATAGTAATAAAAATATATGGGAAAATTGAAAAGCAAGGGTTTGTTCCTACTTTCAGCAGCTTTGTGGTTTCAGTGACATCCAGAGTTTTAAGTCCTCATGGGGAAGAGTCATTGGTACTTTTCCAGCTGTTGCATTTCAGATACTGGCAACTTAGCTGAAGGATTTCTGAGCGGGACCCAGACTTGGGCTTGTTATTCAGATAATTACTTAGTTTGGAGCAGTTCTTAGTGTCTGAGTTCGGATCCTGAGATCTCGTAAATATTTTTTTTTTGTTTTGACCAGGTAAATCTCTCTGTCCACCCTTAAAGGAAAGGAAAGTTCAGAAGCTGCAAGAGTCACCATGTTTCTCAGCCCAGCTGGGCAATCCTTTACCAGCAGCCAAGCGAGGAATACAGAAATCAAAAGCATCCTCAGCAGGTACCATTCTCAGCTGCCTTTCACTGAAGCTCACTGGACTTTTGTCAAATGCCTATCTAGTTAACAGCAGTGGTGTAGACACATCCAGGATAGTTTTACATTAGTCAGTGCACCAGTGGCAGTCTGGTCACAGTGTAGCAGGGCTTATTACAGAGTTAGTTATTGTATTCTTTGCAGTGGGTGCTATGCTCTGGACTACTGTGGTTAACTTGGACACTGACAGCAGTCCAGCTTGCATCTGTGTATCCTGCAGTGTAGCTTGCGTGGAAAATGAGAGCTGCTCTAGGAAGCTCCTCACCAGGCAGAACTCGCTGCTTGAGTTACATGTGACTCATCTGGAGCTGTCAGTTAGTTCCCAGCTGACTGGGATACCAGTTCAGTACAAAAAAGACAGTTTTACACCTTTTTCTTAAGTATGTTATATTAGACTTCTGTCTCAGGTCAGGTGTAAGTTAGTGTTATTTTTATTTAGAAGTTTTCTTTCGTTATCAAGTTTTTCTTTTCTTGCTTTTCTTCCTGCTAAAGAGAACAAGACTCCTCCTCCACAGCAAGTCCTCAGTCTGGCATTCCAGCCTCTCAAGTCTGCTGCAGGGAACACACCCAATAAGGTGACCAGAGACAAGACTCCTCGCATGCCTGCGTGCTCCAGTGCAACAACTCAGGCAGTGTCCGTGGAAACCTTCTCAGGACTGAGATTAAGGTCAGCAGCCCAGCACTGGGCTCTATCTGGTGACATCACCCTCCAGTAATGGGAGAGAAAATGCAATCAGTCCAATGTCCTGTGATGCTAGTAACACAAGTGGTGCGCAGAGGACTGGATTTCTGATTTGCTGTATATACATGATTTAACCACGTCTTTTTTTTCGATTGTCATTAGGGGATGTAACACAAAGCCACACCATTGGCTGGTTGATCAGTAAATAGGTAACATTTACTTTTGGCTTAGTACCATGTTGCTATTTCTATTTTCACCTTTGCTCTTTTCTAACAAAACAAGCTATCATTTTGTTGGTGGTGCCTTCCCTGGGATGTCCTCAGTGGTGGAGGAGGGAAGCACTGGGCATGTGCAAAGCCCAGCTGTGCTCCGGTTGTGCAGATTTTGCTCCACACTGAGAAGCCTCATGATCCCCATACTCGATGTGGCCAGAAGAGGTCTCTGAATACTCACAGTGTCTCTTCTCACCAGAAGCCATGCTGATTTCCAAACCCTGCTTGGTCAGTCATACTCGGTCATTCCTGAAATGAGCACAGTTAATGCAGACTCGGGGCTAAGTTGCAGTGCAGCTGTTTGGACAGAAAACAGCGCGATCAGTAGCTTTCTGATATTTGTACAGTGTCCTGAACCGGGGGGTTTTATTTCAAGTGACCTCGGGGTGAAATAAGGCATGGAGTCATTTTGTAGCAAGACATAGTCTCCTCAGGAGAATGCTGGATGGTTTTGATTGTCTCTGCCCATTTATGCCAACAGATGTGTTCTCTTTTGCATGCTTTTGCTTGATCTAGAAAACCACGGGTGTCTTCGGCTGAAATGGACAGGAAAATGGCTAATCGGAAGCTCATCCGACTGTCCCAGCTGAAGAGCAAACTTGCTGCAGAAAATCTGGAGGAAATAGACTGGGTAACATTTGGAGTCATCGTGAAGAAGATCACTCCTCAGAGCGCAAATAATGTAAGTAACTTTGTTGCATCCCTTGCTTGGTTCAAGTGAAATGCTGATCTTCTTTCCTACAAAATTAATTAGGCCTTCAACTTAATCAGCCAACTCCATGTAGTTAATGCAAAGCTACTGTGTTAAAGATCTTGACTCATCTGGTTTCTTGCAGTAAGGCTGCTTTTAGTCCTCAGGGTAAGTCCTTAGCTTATCCAGTGCAACTTTCCCAGACAGCATTGGCTAATGTAACCACAGCATAAATCTGTCTTCAATCTGTTCATTCACTGTCATATGTTAAATGCCAGTGTGGAAAAAAAGGACTGTGACTCTGTCTTTCTAGTCAGGCCTCTTCTTTTAAATGTGCCACCACATTCTGCTTTTGTCATTTCCCTAGTCATCATTCTGTCCTATATGGTGTACATGTCGTATAGAAAATTATTGATGAAACAGAGATCTGGATGTGCCTTGGTTTTATTTCTTCAGTGGGGTAAAAACCTCTTCATTCAGCAAGAAAGAGTGCTGTCTAGCTTTAATATCAGGAAGATTGGTGATACCAGTTATTGTGCTATTTTGGCCTTAAAGAATCCCAGAAATGGCTGTGTGGCATGGCTGGAGATATTTTATCTAACCTCTATTGAGGTTACACATTGTGCTTTTCTGAACCAGGAAAACCCGGGGGGGGGAAAAAATCAGAATAGAAGCAGCAGCAAGAGGAGATGCAGTCAATGTCCCCCTGCTGAGTGCTGAAAATAAAGCAAATGTCTGTTCCAGGGCAGAACCTTCAGTATCTGGCGGCTGAATGACCTACGGGATCTCAATCAGTATGTCTCACTCTTCTTGTTTGGTGATGTCCACAAAGAGCACTGGAAAACAGACCAAGGCACAGTCATCGGGCTGCTCAATGCTAATCCTATGAAACCTAAAGAAGGCTCAGATGAGGTGAGAGGATTTTTCACTTGTCCATCAGCTGTAGATAAAAACCCCTATCTGAACTCTAATATCTACCTGAGATTTGGCTTTATAACACAAGCTGAGGCTAAAATTACAGCAGCCTGCCTAGGCAGTTTGAATTGCATTCAGGTATTTGCATGGTGTGTATTTGCTCTGGGCCTCCTGGAAGACTGAACTTCAAGAAGTCCTATTAAGCATCTAAAACCAGAGTTGATTCAAGTGTTTAATCCGCTCTCGATAGCAGTCAGCTCTTCCACAGATGTAGGGAGTGTATTTTCATTTCAGTTTATTCAGATACTTCAGTGCAATGCCTGTTTCAGCCAAGAGGTCTCTAAAAGCTGGAAAGGTGGGGAAGCTTATTTCTCACTTCTAATTTAAGTATGAGATGTAATTGCAAAATGTTTCCTGGCTTCAAAATCATAACTGAGAAGAAGCAATATTTGATTTATTAAACAAATGATGCATTATGTATAGCAAGGTGATACATGGTACTTCACTTATTTAATCAATTACTTATAAATGCATAACATGATGAGTTACTTTTCTTTATGTATCAAAACAGTTAAGGTGGCTCCATTTTGCTAATAAATTAATTTTTTTAAATATCTTTTTAATTGCAAACCAGAAGCCATTTTTACTGACTTCTGTCAAGGGGAATTTCAGTCTAGAAGCTGGTGATGTAGTGTTTTGCATTTTAAGTTCTCCAAATGAAAAAATCAGGGATCTCATTAATTGCCTATTAAGCTATGTAATTGCTTAAATTAACGTGAACAAGCAGTAGAAAGTCCCGTCGGTGGGTAGATTTAATGTAAGGGCTGTAGTTAACTGTTAAGAATGACTCTCCTTAGCTAACGTGCACATTTAGAACTACATTAAAACTTACTTCTCAAAGTGTTTCTTACACACAGATACAAGTCCTAGTATCTTTGGGTGGTGTGAAGGTGACACTCTTATTGTATCACTGGCGTCCGTTTTGATAGGACCTAGACATATGGAGAGGGACACAGAGCTCTAGTCCATCTCTTCTTCCCATCCACTGATGAATGTGGCTGCCATGATGGTGTCAGAGCCAAGCAGTTGTACAGGACCATCATTTATAGCACAGCTAGATCTGCCTTTGCTGCTCCTTGATTTCTAATGTCCATCTCTTTGTGGGAAATAAATTAACTTTTTTCTTTTTAACTGAGCTTTTTCTCAATCTGAACAGGACATGTGGCTTTCTTAAACTAGGCCTGCATTTTAAAACTGCATTGTTAATACCAGAGGTACCAATCTGGGCCAGAACCAAACCAGTGGCATCTAGAGAAAAGCCCATACAGTCCTCCTCAAGGCATGTGCCGATTTCTTTCTAGGTGTGTTTGTCTGTTGACCATCCCCAGAAGATCCTCCTCATGGGTGAAGCTCTGGACATGGGCACCTGCAAAGCCAGGAAGAAGAACGGTGATCCTTGTGCACAGATTGTGAACCTGGTCTGTATCTTGGTAGTTAGGACATCCTTAAGCTGTTGGTAAATATCTAGCTGCTGAGGTTTTACTGATGCTCCAACTCTGACTTGCTTCTGGATCTTGACTTGTAATTAATTAAAGTGGGTGGTGAAGCTGAGAAATGAAACCCAGAGGAGCTGCTTCTGTGATGACACCGTAGCAACAGCACAGTAGTTCCCTAAATGCAATGCTTGTGCTGCAGTGAAAAGAGATGGTCTTGACCCATGACTGTCACCATCTCCACACCCTTTCACTCTCCTTTGTGCTGCTGCAAGCTTCCATGCGCTGCGCTAGAGAACTCGTCCAAGGTAAAACAACAGGAGGTTTTTCTTGGGAATGGCTGTGTTTTTTGGAGATGGTTTTAAAACAATGAGTTCCCTTGTCCAGCATGCCTGTAAGCTTCTAGAATACTTATAACTGAATGTGGGGCACTGGAGATGAGATGAAAAAAGGTGCTGGGATTCTTCTTTTAGGGGCAGTACTGACTTGTATTAGTTTGAAGGGCTTGTGGACTATGTCACTTCATGGCTATGGTGATGTTATGATACCTGAAAGGAACACTAAGTTGGAAGGGTTATTGTTAGTAGGGTAGCACATAGAAGAAGGAGAGAAAATGAGGGAATAAAGAACCGGGAAGGAAATAAAAGTGTGTGGAGTAGGAGGAAGACAAGTACAGAAGATACTCGTAGCAAAATACGGCTGTGATCGCAGATGAACTCCAGGAGGTGCCTGTGCATAGGGCTCTCAATGTCAGTGAGATGTTCCAGTGCCACCTGGAACAAACCGCGGATGGAGACTGTCTGGCAGAAGAACCTCATGAAGGAACTGGCTGTGTGTTAGTGACACAAAAATGTCTGCTTGTGGTGTAACTGTAGTTATACAAATCTGGGCCAATGAATATCAACAAAATTGGAGTTATGTTTTTGGTAAACAGTTAAAGAACACCCTGAGTGAGCGTATTTATGGCACTACTGTCTGGCAGGCAGGCTCACTATCATCAGTTCTAAACTCCCTTGGATTGACACTGAAAACTGATGAATTAATTTGAAATGAGTGCATGAAATGTCTTGCTCCCGTATGAGTTTTCCTTTGTGTTCATACCAGTAAGAAAATTGCATACAGCTCAGAGAGACCTGGGACATCGGTTAACTTAAGCTAAGGAATAGCCTTAAATTTCCTGGAAAGGAGGAAGTCCTTGATGCACAGGTTTTTTCCCAGTGATTAGTATGGGCAATTTCAGTTTTGTTTTTCATTGCTGGAGTGTGGGCACATGTTTGCTGAGTTGGTTAAGTGCTGGCATACTACAATAGAGATGTTACTTTGGTTTAGCCATAGAAGGATGCTGGTGGGTGAGAGGAATTAAGTAAATTGTAATTGCTAGTGTTCTGCAACAGGCTTCTCCCATTTATTTTCAGAACGACTGTGAATATTGTCAATATCACATACAATCCCAGTACAAGAAACTCAGCTCGAAGCGGGCAGATCTTCAGTCTAGCTTCTCTGGTGGCCGCATTCCTAAAAAATATGGTCGGAAAAATCCCAGTTTGAAGGAGAAGCTGTGTCAGGATGGGTTTTACTATGGAGGTGTCTCATCAGCAGCATATGCAGCCTCAGTGTAAGAAAAACCACTTATTTTGCTTTTGAACAGAATTTCCCTCTCATACACAAGTGAGCCTGAAGCTATCTTTAAGGGGGTCTATTTAGTTAGAGATCCCTTTGGCTTAACTATGTTCAGCAAATAGGAATAAATGCCCCACATTTGGTGTAATACTCCTGGCCCCAGGGGGCAACAGAGCTGCTATTTGATAAGAAAATTTTAACAGTCAGCACTCAGATGTGGTAAGGGGTGTTTTTACCTCTAAATTAATACTGTATTGTGAAGCCAGGCAGCATTGTGTTTCCATAGAAGAAATTAACTTTAATCATGAGATCACAAGCATTCAAGTCTCGAAGACGAGTATTTTTCCCTTACTGTATTTTGTTATGGCTCATTACATTTAATCCCAGCCTCAGTGTATTCTGTATTTCCTCCTCCTCTCTTTCTTGGCTGAAATACCATATTACTGTGTGTTAGTGAAGAGACAGTAGTAAACCCTGCTTAATGTTAAGTGACCAAGATCAGTAGATCAGTATGCATCTCATAACTAGCATGGTGGGGCCAGGTCCTTCATCCAAAACCCCCTGAAGACAGCTGTGGAAAGACTAGGAGGTCCTAAACTATTTGTGTTTTGTATCTGGATTTAGACACACATCCTTCCCGAAGACGCACAGATGACAAGAGGGAGGCACCCTAGGTGTGGCTGGAGTTTTGTTGAAGCGCTGGGATAATGTTTGATCTCCTGTGCTTGCTCTAACCATGAAAAAACTCTGATGTTCTGGTTTTGCTTCCTCTTTCTAGTGCAGCAGCTGCGGCGCCGAAAAGGAAGATTCAAACCACTCTCTCCAATCTGGTCGTAAGAGGAGCTGATGCAATTGTCCAGGAAACCAGGCAGAAAATTGGTACCTAACTACCCGTGTAGTCTCCTCACCCTCCAGATTATTTCCAGCGTGATGTGTAGATGTGTCCCAGGACCCTGTTACTCACTGAATGAATCTGGCAATTGGTTTGCTGCTGAGATAGCCATTTGCAGGCTGCTTTTTCAATTGATCAAAACTCCTCTTCCCTCTTGAGATCGCAGTTGCAAGGCAAACGTAACTAAGCAACTGTGTAGCTCCAGGCATCTTTTTTTCATCGGTGCCCCTGAATTAAGTCTCCTGTTCTGTCTTTGGACAGTGACAGAAGATCTTTGCCAGATTAATGGGAATTGGAAGTTTTAAGAACTTTTAACCAGGTAATTTATTTTATTTGATTAAAATAAATGACTTCTGTCAATCTTGAAAGCTTCTAAGGAATACTAAGTATAAATCAGAGTCAGGTCTGCAATGCAGGAGACCTCCCAGGTACCCAGCCTGTTCCTAGTGTTTTCCTTCTGTGATCTGCAAAACATGTTGTTTCTATAGGATGGGGATGTCACTGATGTTCTCTCCCTCCATTTTATTTCTGTAAAGCACTTAATATTACACCCTCTTTATGCTCAGCAAAGAGCAGATGACAAATTATTCAAACTATGTGCTCTAGATGCCACTTACATGTCTTATTCACATCTTTCCATTCCCTCAGCTGCCTCTGTTTCAGGCAACATAGTGTATGTCCTGTCTCTAGCTTTTAGCTGCTCTTAATTCTCCAGGGGTAAGATGCGGTGGCTTGAGGGCTTTCAAGCGTTCTAAAAATGGGAATGCTGGGAGCACCACAGACAGCCAAGGCTGATGGGGAGCTGACTGACGAAATTGCTGAAGGAGTATAAATGTCTTCGTGATGTGTTCTGTGAGGACAAGGCCTTGGGCAACCAAATATAACATAGGAGTTGGCCTTGCTTTTGGGGAGTGCTCACTCAGGTGACCCGCAGTGGTTTCTTCCAACCTAGACTGCTCTACATCTCTAAAGCCAGGCCTGCTTCCCTTCCTGGCTCCAAATCTGTTGTATTTCTGCCTCTTCTGCTCCAGGTGCAGCAAAGAGACCCATGCAATGTTCTGAGGAATTCAAGGAACTGCTAGCACAGCCAACCTTTGGAGCACGAAACCTCTGCAAACACTGGACCAAAGCAGGTACTGTCCTTTTCCCTGAAGGAAAAAAAAGTGGGTTCACTCCTGAAAACACTCAAGCTCCTTCTGAGCACACAGTAGTGGCTTTTTATTTTGGTTTGGTTTGGTTTTTTTCAGATGCTGAAAAGAAGCAAGGGGCCAATTTCCAATCTATCTCTGCTTCAGCACTGCTCAAGCAACAGAAACAGAAATTGTTGGAGGCCAGAAAAAAACGATCTGAAGAGATTCAGAGGCGGTAATAAATATTGACTTTCACAGGAAGAGTTCTGTTATGGTGGCCTTAAGTACAACTGTGGAAGTGTTTTGCTGTTTTTCTAAAAACTTAATTTAAATAGAAATACCCCAGTGTTCAATGGAGAACCAAATGCTCCAGCACTGTGCCCAGCAACTGGAAAGCATGATGGGAAGAGGCTGATTAGAGTAGGAAACTGGGATTGGGACTCCTGGTTCGATTTGCTGCTGGCTTGCGGGGGTCTTCTGAAGCCTAAGACTTGCCAAGTGTTTTGTGCGTACCTTGTTAGCAAACCTAAGAACCTCTTAAGGGCCACCTTGGGTGAGACTGACATTGGCATAGCCAAGTAGCCTCAAAAGGCTCAACAGGAGCCAAAACACAACCTGAAGGAGAATAAGAAGAGTAGGCACACTCATGGTGGTATTTCCCCCAAATACTCCTCCAGCCTACAACAGTGTGTATTCAGGGATTTTCCAAGCTAAAAGTAGTGTCTGTTGTTATATCTCTGAAGGGGTTTGTTTTTTTCTCCATGAACCTGTCCAGCCTCCATTGTGACTTCTGTAAACCTAAACATTTATGTGACTCCTGTGATGAGTCTTGCTACTTAAGTGCCCGTTCTGCAAAGAAGCTTATTTTTTCCAAGTGCTTTCAGTTCCCACTTCCAAGCTTCATTTGATGCTTCTCTCCAATTTTAGTTTTGAGATAAATTGGTTGTTCACTGCTTCTGGTGACTTCTTCGAGTCACTCTTGATTTCAGCAACCCCAGTGAGTTCCTTACCAGTCTTGTTTTACTCTCCTGAATGCTGAAATTGCTGCATGTTTTTCTAGCAATCAAAGGCCAATTAGTGAAAAATCAGAGTCTGCATCCCTTCCATTCCCATGTTTCTCAAACCTTTCTGTCTCTTTGACTTGTGTCCCTATTTCATTGGATTATTCTTGTCTTACAAGGTTTCTCCAGAACACAAGTAAAGCCAGCAGCCCTGCTTTACCGTCCTCCTCCAGACAGTCCTCGCTCCAGTCCCCAGTGCCTGGGGCAGAGTTTCCCAAAGCTGCAAAAATGTCAACTCCTCAAAGGCCCAGGCTGGGCACAGGCTTCTCAGAAGGAGAAGATATCCTCTTCTTTGATGGATCTCCACCTCCTACACCAAAGCTAGACAGCTTGGCAGAAGCCAAAAAGGTAACAGCTCTTTGGATCTTTTAAGCATTAAGAAGGGAATGTAAAGGGAAATTTGATTTGTAGTAGTAGAGGAGTCTTTGGTCAGATATAGGCCAGCTCAGTTCTGATGTCAGTGAAGTTTCTGATTTATGGCATCAGACTGGCCTATAGTACAATACAGAAGAAACCTGGGGTTCCTGACAGCTGTCAGTACCAAGGGTCACACTACCATCTTGCCTGTAGTCGACCTCAAGAGCAGTGGAACAGCTGCTAAAGAGGGGCCTGTGTGTGTGACATTTGGCTACAGGAGCTGGTTGTCTCTTGCTTGTTCTAAATCCACCTGAATTGGTCAGAGGTGAGCTGTTATCATCTGTCTCATGTGTGTGATGCTCGTGAGCTCACTCTTGATCTTCTCTGAAGGCAAACATCACTGAAGCCACTGACACAACCGGCAATTTTGGCAAATGCCAATTGGGCATGGATAGGGGACAGAACAGCCTCTTGAGATGAGACTGGGGAAAGGGAGATGGGGAGACGGGACTTCTCATTTAAGTCATGAACCTGATGCTAAGATTTTTGATGAAGAAACACCTCTTTATGCATGCTGGCAGCTTTTCTGAGTAGAACTGACTTCATTCTTCATGACCTGACATAGTTGAGAGTTTGTGGGTGAGAATTAA